ACTCGTACAGGAGCTTTTGGACCCCCCACCTTCTGATCAGTCTCACCCTTTTAAAAGTAATGAGGACTCGTAGAGGAGCTTTTGCGGCTTGTGTGTCTTTTCATTGATTACCTTCTTTTCAAAATGATGCGAAATTTTGACTTCATGGCCAACAAGGAATGGTGCATGCCTACATTCATAATCCTAACACTAGTGTGGGAATTGGAATCCAAGATATATAGGTTTGATCGTGACATGCTCATTGGGAAAGAACTAAAAAAAATCTTAACAATTGATCAAATTGCCAAAGGGCTGGTGAATTGAGGGCCAAGTATGCTTGGATTTTCTGATCATAAAATGAATTTGATCGTAGGGGGGATTTTAGATAAGCTACTAATATATAGCTCACCAGCAAACAAAGGATTGTTCATTTCTTTTAATTAACGGAAAATGAGAGATTCAAAAACTTGGAACAATTCTTTTAATAGATATTTATAAAAATACCAAATTCTAGACATGTATTTATAAAAATACCCAAGCACTATTTAAACATAGAAACATACCCAAAATGGGTTTTGGGTATGTGTGTAATGATGGGTTTTGGTATGTTTATAAATGGGTTTTGAGTGTGTGTAATGATGAGTTTTGGGTATTTTTATAATTTCAGCCCCCATTTTGGGTATTTTAGTGAAACTCCCTTCTTTTAATATCGAGAAGATATACACCACTAAACTAGTAAGCACACATTTTTATTTTTTATTTTTAAAAAAACCTACAAATTTCAACATATATATGTATATTTATCATGTGTGCATATATATATGTCTTGAAAAGAATAGAGCTTTAATATAGTTGGTAGCCCATAAACAAGGGTTTCTGAAGATAATGCTACAAAACACTTTTCCCTCTCAAATTCAAATGACCTTATCAAATTCCGGGCAATGAATACATTGTTGAATTTTATATGCAAGATGTGTGGGAAATGAATTAAAAATTGAGAGCAATGATTCAAGATCACCCTGTTTTAATAAAAAGAAACGCACACTTTCATCATCCGTTTATATACAGGATATAGATTGACATTATGATCATCACATGCCAACCAGATTTTTATTTTTATTTTTGTCATAGGGGTCCATGAAAAGATCCCAAGCTCAAATGCATACATAAATATATACGGTGCCATTTTTTTAGAACAGTCTTCTTGTTACGTTGTGGACCATTTGGAACTAAGTACTCTTTGGGCGATTTTATGCACTTGTCCTTAGCTCCTTTTTGGGCCACCCAAAAAATATTGCTCATTTCTCATGAGTGCAAAAATTGTGCGATCGATATGGAGAGACGGCACTGTGCTTTCTTTACAATTTGGATAAGTTGATGCTTGTGAATTGTGATGTAATAAAACTCAACCATTTGGGACGATATATGGCAGGAGAACCTTCTATGACTTTGATAGCTTTAGTGGTGTCTGCCACAGAGAGAGAGAGAGAGAGAGAGAGAAGGCCACCGGCAGTCAGTGCTGCTTATTAGAGAAGGGAAAAAGAAATTACTTTAAAAAGAAGATAAACAAAGAGGCTGCGATCACCATATTTATATATAAATGAATATTAATATATGTTTTTTTTTTGTTTTTTTATATAATCGATAAAATGAGGAAACACGCAGCTCGAGACCCAGAAATTCCACATTAAACGCAGCATGGGTTTTGAGTTTGCGGGTTTTGTCTGTGTTATAACGGCAAAGCCTTGAGGTTACCTGGCTCTATTTTACATTAGAGAATTCAATACAATTTTGTGGTCTCTATTTGATCAACAATTAATTTTCAATGTGTCTTTTGACAAGTTGGCAAATGGGTTTAGCCTAATTGGAAAAAGTCTTGACTTGCATACATGTGGTCTTAGGTTCGAGTATTCATGACATCTTGACAGTGTGTGTGAGAAAGAAAAAGGTGTAGTTATTAGTCTGATAACTTCTTTTCCCCGCATTGAAATATGCTTGAAGTTCAAATCGTCCTCGTTACTAATAAATATTAAAAAAAGCACAAAATATGCAAGTACTCTCTCTTTTATTTGGATTCCAATTAGAACTATCTAAATTCAGTTATGAAAAAAGCATAACAAAATGGTTATAGTTTTATTATCCACCAGCCCCCAACCCTACTTGCCTTGTATTTATTTTCTTTTCTTCCCTAAATTTGGCTTTATAAAAATGAGAAAGACCCATATAACCATAGGCAAACGAATTAATACGCAAGACATGTTCTAACGTGCCCTTCGCGGTCAATTACTATCAAATCAGAAACCAAAGCGTGGCGTGGGGGCTTGAAGTGTGAAGAACGGAAAGGCTAAAATGAGGAGGTTGAGTGAGGAGCTTATTTGAGGAGGTGAAATCTCACCATCAACAACCAAAAACAAAGTACATGGGGGGGTGCATTGGGGGGTCCACACCCCTTTTGATGGTGAGATGGGCCTCCTCAAATAAGCTCCTCACTCTACCTCCTCATTATAGAAGCTCCCGTGTGAAGAATGCTTTAAGATTCCAACACGTGGTGGTGAGGCGTCTGTGAGCCGTCATGTCTTGTCCCATCGTATGTGGGCCTCCCGATATGGCCCAAGCCCACTATCATATTTTACGAACGACGCAAATGCACCATCGAATTCCAAACCTTGTCGTTTTGGGGAGTTGGAAAATGACAACATGTCGTCGCGGGGTGGGTCTTTCATTTATTTATTTTTAGACGGCATTTTATTTGGGCGGACTATGGAGGGCTTTGATTACGTACCTCGGACCCGCAGTATCCATTATGGCCCCCTGTGACATGTCGTTCTTCTATTGGCTTTGTTTGTATTTCATGGACTTAAACTTAATTTGTTTCAGTACAAACTGTAGTCTAAACTATAGGGAAGGGGGATTTCTCTCTCTAACACAACTATAATGCCATGCGACCTGAGGCTAAACTAATTTATTTAAATGACTGTGTTTAATTCAAAATCAATTGGAAAGAAAAAAAAATGCTTCAATTGAATTTGAATAGTGTGATTTCAAATCCAATGGAGCTTTTAACAAACAATAGAACATATATATATACAAGGTAGTTTAGTTCATGATTTATAATTAATAGATGTTTTGATATACTATGCTAACAATACATAAAATAATATTTTTGCAGTGCATGAAGATTTTTATGAAGTGCCAATAATAGGTCATAGTTTCGAACTTATTTGTCTTAATCACTTATTTTAATGGTATTTCTCTTTCTGATGTTAGAAGACATCTCACGTTTGAATCTCTTCTCTCATGTCGATGGAATAATAAATGATGCAAGACTTGATATTCATGAGATGAGCCCAGACAAGTAGAAATGTATTCCTCAAATTTTGAAGAAGCACTCTAAAGATCCACATATAATCATTGGCCAGATTTCAAATTGGTAACTCAGATTAACTGAGAAGACGGCCTAGACAAAACTAGGGGACTTGGATTAAAGCAGAGGAAGCTCTTGCTTTCAGACTAGAATAAAAAGAAGGAAGTTCAGCAGGCAGATGTGAGCATATATGATGTGGTGAACCTTGTTTTGAAGTTGATGCTTGGAATATACCCTGTATCATTTTCTTGGCGTTTGTCTTATAGACTTGTACAAAAAGTTTCTCAAAAAAACAAGGAAAGAAAAGTAAAGAGCTAAAGTTTCATGCATGGTTGAAATTGAAACACATCCAATCCAAGCCCAAGTCCTTAGGTTTTCATGTACAGAAAATACAACCTTAGGTTTTAGCCCAAACATGTATTGGCAAGCCCAATTATGTTTTAGCCGAATATCAGGAGCAGCTGGGAGTCTCATTCTTAATTTAAATACGTAGAATGCTTAGGGTTAGTCATTTGTGAACGCATAATTCATTCATAGCCGTTGATGATTTAAACATGTAGAATGCTTACAGTTAGTCGTGTGTGAACATATGATTGTTTCAATTTTGCCCATATAATCATTAAAGCATTGGGCTTTGTTTAAAATACACGTTTGTTTTTTAGAAAGTGATTTGGAGGCAGCTGAAATCCTCATCAATGTTAACCATGAAGTTTGGGTAACGGAAGATGTGATTTTGGGCAAAGTTGAGGAAATGAGTGGAATTGACAATGAAACCTATGTTATTGTCAGTGGGTAAAGCTCCGGTTCCCCAATAATCCTATGGTTCTTCCATAGAGAGAACGGAGGGGGAATGGATGGGTGCTTGGGGAAGTGGGGGAGATGGCTGCCGTGCGGTGCGGTGGAAGAAGAGGAAGGAGGGTGGGGTATGCGTGTCGTGAGGGAAGGGGTTTGATATTTGTTAATAATCTTGTTAGTTTTTTTTATAATCATTTTCTTATGTGTTTTAATTGGTTCTAATGTTTTTGCCTGGCGGTCTTTTTTATAAATAGTATAGCCGTGCGGCTATACTCGGTTTTTTATTTTTATTTTTTAAAATCGTATAGCCGAACGGCTATCCTTTTTCAACACGTGGCGCATAAACGAAATTCGGAGGAAAAATTTAAATAAATAATAAGGATCCCAGTATATAAAAAAGCGTATAGCCGGTCGGCTATACTATTTTTAATTTTAAAAAATAAAAATCAAGTATAGCCGCACGACGATACTATTTTAAAGAACCGAGTATAGCCGCCTGGCTATACTATTTTTAATTAAAAAAATAAAAAACCAGTATAGCCGCGCGGCGATACTATTTTTTAGACATATTAATACAACCGAGTATAGCCGATCGGCTATACCATTTTTTAAAAATAAGGCAAAACCGAGTATAGCCGCGCGGCTATACTATTTTAAAAAAACCTGATCGATTCATAGACGTTGATCTATAATATATAGACTTTATATGCATATACAGTTCAGAATCGCTCGCCTGTAGGTGTCTTTTGATACAGCACGACGAAGAGGTTTGGATGGGCTTGATCTGAATATAAAAGCCCATGTAATAACCCGGCCTGCATTTTATACAACTTATGATGTTTATAGATTTAACCTTATACGCATACTTGTGGCCATAATCAGGAGCCAAGCTAGGCCCCTCGCAGATCAAAGTAGAAAGAGGAGAATTAACGGATAAAAAGGAGAGAGAGAGCAGAAGCCGAAGCAGCCGACTGTTGTATAAAAGAGTGAGAGAATGGTAAGCGCAAGCGCAATGCGTGTTGTGCAACCCACAATCCTCTCTACTTTTGTGGGTAACCGCTTGCTTCAGTCAGCGCAGCCTCTTCACCAACTCTTCAGCTACAACCCAGGTCCTTGCTCCTTCACTTTTATTCTTTATTTTATTTTTCAGTCTTGGTTTCTGAAGTTAAAACATTTCTGATTCAGCTTTGGTTTCAATTCTATGTGTTCTATTTGAATCGGCTTATAGTCAAAGGAAGGGTGCAATAGTATGCTTGCTAGTGTTTATACTTGTATGAAATGGGGTGTTATAGCTTGTAGCTAGCATAGCTTATTGGTTTTGTGAGACTGCTTTTATAGCTATATCAACTAGATACAATTTCCCTAATGCTTTGTGTCTCTGATTGTATGACTTGAACTGAAAAAAATTGGTCTTTGGTACCAAGAGAACGAAACTTTAATGCCTACTTGAGCTCTTTTCTTGAAGATACAAACTTTTTTCCCCTTGGATGTCACTACCCTTTCTCTGTCTCCCCAACTAAAGTCCCATTATTCAGTTGCCAAATCTAAATTCCCGACAAATTCTCTTTTCTCAGTCCCAGTTGCCACTGATCTTGACTACGCTAAAATCCCAAAGGAGATGAGAGTATGGCGCGCTCATCGAGCAATCTCAATTTTGTCCACAACCAATAGAAAAGCCCCCTCTCCTTCTGAACTCAGTGTTTACCTACAACTATGCAGCAATTCGAAGTCTCTAAATCAAGGAAAGCATGCTCATCAAAAGATAATCCAATGTGGGTTGGATCAAAACCCATTCATAGTCACCAAATTAGTCCAAATGTATGCTGATTTTGATGATTTGGTGTCTTCCCGGAAGTTGTTTGACAACTTGTTAAAACCAAATGTCTTTGCTTGGACCTCAATCCTGGGATTCTATTCAAGGCACAGAATGCATGAAGAATGTGTAGGAGCATATGTTGAAATGATTTTGAATGATGTTTTGCCTGATGGGTATGTGTTTCCTAAGGTCTTAAGGGCATGTGCACAGTTGTCGTGCTTGAAAGTGGGAATTGTGGTTCACAAAGATGTGATTATATGTGGGGTTGAGCTTAATCTTCAAGTTTGCAATTCATTGATAGATATGTATTCGAAATGTGAGGATATTGGGAGTGCTAAAAGGGTTTTTGATGAGATGGTGGGAAGAGATTTGTGGTCATGGAATTCAATGATCTCAGGATACGTATGTAATGGGTTGCTTGGATTGGCAGTAAAACTATTTGATTGTATGAATTTGGGTGGTTGTGAGCCTGATATTGTCACTTTGAATACAGTAATGGATGCTTATTGCCGAATGGGGCACTGTAACAAGGCTAAGAGAATCTTTGAACAGATTAAGGAGCCTAATATCATTTCATGGACCACCTTGATATCAGGATATTCAAGGATTGGGAGTCATGAAGCATCCTTGAGGATTTTCAGGGATATGATAGGAAGCAGCATGGTTGACCCTGATTTGGATTCTCTTTCTACTGTCCTTGTCTCCTGTCGGCATCTGGGGTCTTTGCTAAATGGAAAAGAAATTCACGGTTATGGGATAAAAAGGGAATCTGGCATTGCATTTTACCACTCAGCTGGCCCTGCATTGTTGACAATGTACGCCAACTGCCGTAGAATTCATGATGCTACAAATGTATTTAAATTAATGAACCCAGCCCATGTTGTTTCTTGGAATGCCATGATTCTTGGCTTTATTGATTTAGGACTGGAGGATTTGGCACTTGACAGTTTCAGAAGAATGCAAAGAGCACGCATCAACGTTGACCAAACAACAATATCCACGATCTTGCCGGCGTGCAATTTGAAATTTGGAAAACAAATTCATGCCTTCATTAGGAAAATTAGTTTTGATTTGGTTGTTCCGGTGTGGAATGCACTGATCCACATGTACTCTAAATGTGGATGCATTGGTTCTGCATACTCTGTATTTTCCAACATGATCAATAGGGATTTAGTGTCATGGAACTCAATGATTGGAGGCTTTGGAATGCATGGGCATGGAAGAGCTGCTCTTCACCATCTCAAAGAGATGAATCATTCAGGGATTTGCCCCAATTCTGTAACTTTTACTTCTGTTTTGTCAGCTTGTAGTCACGCAGGTCTTGTGGATGAAGGCCTTCAAGTCTTTCACAGTATGATGAAGGAGTACGGCGTCATCCCCAGCATGGAACATTATGCTTGCATTGTTGACATGCTGGCACGTGATGGTCAACTTGAAGATGCAGTTAGTTTTATTCATAGGATGCCTTTGGAGCCTGATAAGTGTATTTGGGGAGCTCTGTTAGCTGCCTGCCGAGCCCATCAAAATGTTAATGTTGCAAAGCTTGCTGCTGAACAATTAGTCCAGTTGGAACCGGGAAATGCCGGGCACTATGTCACCCTGTCAAATATATATGCAAGAGCTGGAAGATGGGATGAAGCTGTACGAGTGAGAAAGCAAATGGAAGCCCAAGGATCGGTGAAGCCATCTGGAAATAGTTGGTTTGAATGCGGAAACGGGACAAATGAAATATCTAATGAATAGAAGTATGGATACTTTGTGTTCAAAAGCTTTGGATGAGCTTGGTCCTAATACTTAATCCCATGTGACCGGCCTTCAATTTGTACAACTAATTAATTAGGCAGGATTTTGCGAATTCATTCGGGGCACTTGAGGGCATAATGATAAGCCAAGCAAGGCCCATCCCAGGAACCCAAAATGCACAAATAAAAGGAATGTGAGTGAGATAGAGAGAGAGAAGGGTCAAAAGCCAAACCATGTAAGAGCGAGAGAATGGTAAGTGCAAGCGCAATGTGTGTTGTGCAACCCAAAATCCTCTCCTCTCTTATGGGAAACTGCCTCCATCAGTCAAAGCAGCCTGCTCACCAACTTTTCCGCTTCAACCCTGGTCCTGGTCCTTCACTTTTGTACTTCTTTAATTTTTGGTTATTGATAATAGTATTTCTGATGCAGCTTCTGTTTCATATGTTATGCACAGTTTTTTCTTTTCATCTGATTTTGGATCTTTTCCCTAAGGTTGAATCAGTTTAGAAGTCAATTGATGAATGCATGTTGTTGTGAGTTATTTATATTTGCATGAATAGGTGTTATAATTTTTGGTGAACCTGGCTTATTGGTATTTGAGATGGCTGAACTGTGACATACCACATACAATTACAGCCATGCTTTGTTATTTCTGATTGTGTGACTTGAATGAAACATAAAATTTCTTTGATACCAAATGAATGAAACCTTAATGCCTAACTGAGCCCTTTTCTTGGAAATGTAAAAGTTGTCCTGTATAATACCAATAGTTTCTATGAATCTATAAACCAAAGCCTAGAGTCCTTGACAATTTTATGAAATCAACATTTAATGCACTTGTTTTTCCTATTTTTTAAACATGTGAATATAGTGATGGTCATTGTTATTTTCTTTGTTTCAAATTCTCACACACAGGAAGCAAGCATGTTTCAATGCAGTTATCCAAAAGATTTTCTGGCTTGACCAACCTCTTGTTCAATGGAAGGTATGGCATGCAACATTCTGCGTACTCACATGTGTTATATAGACACAGAGGCACACACAACACGGGCATAATAGTATTATTTCATGCACTTTGGGACACTGTTAAAAGGTGTATGAATAAATCATATTGGCTCCCATTTTGTATAAGTGTTGTCTGTAGAAGTTCAAATGACTACATATGATATTATAGTATTATTTATTAGCTTCTAGCTTGTTTGATCTATTTCTTGACCGCATCATGGCTCTATTTTTGGGTTTTTATATGATGATGAGGTTTCTGGACTGGATTTTGAAACACTGCATGATTTTCAATTATGTAATGCACATCATGTAAGATACATATGCAGACATGTCTTTGTAAACTCATAAGTGATGGATATTTTGTTGAAATTAGCAGAAATGCAGATAAAGTTCTAAACACCAAGCGCAAACGTCTAAGGCCTGGAAAAATTTCACCTCATCGCCCTGTTCCAGATCATATACCAATGCCTCCTTATGTCAAATCTAAAAAACCTCCTGGAATTGCGAGTGGACCTGAAGTGCATGATGAGAAGGGGATAGAATGCATGAGAGCCTCTGGAAGGCTTGCAGCACAGGTTCTAGAATTTGCTGGGACTTTGGTCAAGGTGACTGTTCTGCTTCGGGCTTGTTTATCTATGTTTGCACTTTCTCTGTAGAATGATTTTTTAGGTCAATTTTTTTCCCTTATGTCAGAAGCTTGTGTTTGGTGTTGAAGTAATTTTTATTTGTTTTTGCAGCAAAGTATACATTGAAAATAACAATCAGTTTAGGAACCATACAGTATTAATACACAATAACATTCAAATAGAGCTTTGTAGGAAAGAATTCAAATGGCTGAGACCTATGCTGTCCAAAAAATGTAGTCTATTTACACTAAAGGGTATAAACAACTGCCCTGAAAAAGCGGATCCTTTACCTGCCTAAACCCTGAAAAAGTGGCTACCTACTTCATACCATTGCAATTCCAGAATAAAAAACTCTCACTCTCTCTCTCTCTTGTGTAGCCCTCATATCCTAATGAAATATTGAGGGTTTCTCTGTCAATGCATATAGAGTAGAAGTACTTGATGGTGGAAAGTATTGCAAAGTGTATGATTCTACTGAGAGAAAAGCTGTTAGATCTGAACTCTGTGTGTGTGTGTGTGAGAGAGAGAGAGAGAGGGTAAAGCATATGGCCAACTACAGCTAGGATGCTAGCAGTGAAGAACGTGGACTACTCTGGTTAAGTGGTTTTAACATAAGGGGAAGGCTGGTGAGACCATAGGAATTGATGATAAGACTCGTGTAGGTGATTAATGCAGAGAGCATATGTGTTGATTGAAGGCGACAACTTTACTTTGTTAAATAATATTCCCTTAGTGTAATCAAAATTACAGTATAAAACGATTTGAAAATGCTCGAAAACCCAAGTTTTTGCCCAGAAAAAAAAAAGGTTGGATTGGCTTTACAGTAGTGCAGATTCAGCCTGCTTATTTTCCAGAAGCCCCGGGTCCCCCCAAACAAACCAAAAAAAAGAAGAAGAAAGGAAAGGTCTTTCTTCAATTTGCTACTTTCTTAGAGATTCTAGAGTTGGATTTAGTAAAACCTAGATGTTGGAGTGTGAATCTGTATGATATTTACTGAACTGATATTTTCCTTTTTCTTTTGGTCATTGTCATTGTCAACTAGGCTAGTGCATGATGCATTCAAGATTTTGCAATCTATTGTTAGTTTTCGTTGTTAGCTAATAAGTGATTGGAGATAGATTCTTGACTTTGATTGCATGATATAAGAGGTGGGTGTCTTGCTCTGTATGAAAGTTTTAATTGGTTGCTTCTATTGGCAGCCAGGCATAAAGACAGATGAAATTGACCAAGCTGTTCACCAAATGATAATTGATAATGGTGCCTACCCTTCACCTCTTGGCTATGGTGGTTTTCCAAAGAGTGTCTGCACATCAGTGAACGAATGTATTTGCCATGGAATACCAGATTCCCGAGCACTTGAGGTTTCTTTGATTAAAGTTCTTAGCTACAACATCTTGTCCTTCTAAGTAATGAATTGTTTCAAATCAAAATCACATCTAATTTTTTTTCTTGGCAGGATGGTGATATAATTAACATTGATGTTACGGTCTATTTAAATGTGAGTATGGTTACTTAGAGCATGCGTAGTTTAAACAAAATGAAATGAGATACACAATTCAAGACTTGAGGTTTTGACCGTGTATCTATATTAAATGGTTGACACAACTCAACTTTTACTTCTTTTTAATCGAATTGTTCTTTTAATTGTAAATAATGCTTACTACACACATTTTTACCTGTTTATCATTCACAATTGTTTGATTTAATGCATCTTTAGTTACTTGCCAAGTTCAACCTTTAGTAACTATATCCTTCTGACTGATTTGTAATTTACAGGGATATCATGGTGATACATCAGCAACTTTCTTTTGTGGAGATGTTGATGATGAGGGCAGAAAGTTAGTTCAGGTGGCAATATCTTTCTTTTAAATTTTGTGGAGTTCCATGGGTTTTCCACGTATTTGGTACTGTAATATGATAAAAGTTCTTCACTGATAAAGATTTTTTTTTTGGGATGAATTTCACTGATAAAGATTATTCTTAGAATTCTAGGGTTTTTCTTTGTAGGCATAACACAAAGTTCCCATTAGTTTCACAAGAATTCATTTCACTTGATTAATTCCACCTAAAAGTTTATTAGCCTTATGTAATGGAACTTTTCCTACCCTGTGTAGCCAATATCTTTTTGAATGCCTGAACGCAAAAAAAAAAAAAAACAAAAACAAAAAAAAAATCTTCTTGAATGCCATCATCTCTTTGATACAGGTGTACGTCCAAAAGTGTTGTTCACTGGCGGGTTTTCAGAAACTTGAAAAAATGTTTCAGCTACCCCTGTTCTTGTGCTTTTGGATTTTCTTTATTTGTTTGTGTACCTATAATTTCAACTTATTGCATTGGTATAGATGGTCGACGTTGAAATTTCATGAATCTTGGTAAATTATATCTTCCACTAACACTTCTTTAGTTATAGACTTGTAGTGAGGCGAACCTTTCCAGGCTGAAATTAGTTAATTGTATATGCCTTTAACTTCTCAAGATGTTCTTCTATGATAGCTATTCTTACAAGATTTATTTTTGAAGTATTGCCTTAGGTAACTAAAGAATGCCTCGACAAAGCAATCTCAATATGCGCGCCTGGAGTGGAGCTTAAGAAAATTGGAAAAACGATCCAGTAAGGCATCTTCTTCCCCCACCCCCCTAATTCTGTAGTTCTGTTTTCTTCCTTATATGCAGGATTCTGTAGTGGCATTGGTGCAATAAATTTTTTCTTTTTGTGTCAATGTGTCTTAAGGCTGACTTGTCATATACATGCATGCATTAGTCACATATGGATGTGAAAATTCAATCTTATTCTAATAATCAATGGTTTTTTGTTTTCCTCAATAAGAGAGCATGCAGATAAATATCGTTATGGTGTTGTTCGACAGTTCGTTGGGCATGGGGTTGGACGTGTCTTTCATGCAGATCCAGTTGTTCTACACTTCAGTAATAATTCTGAGCTTTATGCTGCTCCTGTCTCCAATATTCACTCATTGTTTGAGCAAGTCATGCAAATTATTTATTAAAACTTACGGTCTAGAAATATACCTTAGATTAATTATATTGACGGCTGAAAGTTTATTACTGATTAGTATAGAAAACATGTGCCATAAGACGTAAAAGTAATTAGCTGTACTGTCGTAAAATGATCTACAACCCATACTTATCTATCATGAAAGAACCCCCTCATCTTGCTTGGGAGTGAGAAGTTTGTAATTCAGTAATATAACGCATTAATCTGCCTTATGTTTCTTTCTTGAAGTATGCAATATATTGCCACTAATATGCATGGAGACACACACGGGACACACAATCTGCATCTAGAATATCTGCCAACAGAACATATTCCGGTTGAAGTGATTTTTATTCCTTTGTAGGGAACAAAGAAAGCGGACGCATGGTGGTAAACCAAACCTTCACAATAGGTAATGCATTTTGATTATTCAAACTTACCTTCTTTTTGGAAAAAGTTGTTGCTTATTTGTGATGTACTTGTTTCGTAACTGTGTTCAGAACCGATGCTGACACTCGGCAGCTTTAATCCCGTAATGTGGGACGATAATTGGACAGTAGTCACAGAAGATGGAAGCTTGTCAGCACAGTTTGAACATACCATTTTAATAACCGAAGACGGGGCTGAGATACTAACTCGGTGTTAGTGATGGTGCTAGACCTTATACGATAGAACCTATAGATTCCCAAGTTTGGGAATTATACTTGATTGGAGTTGCATCTTCCAAGTAAAAAATTTTAAGTTGGAGGTGCACATATGTTTTGCTTTTACCATTATTTTAGATGATTCCTTTAACTGCATGAATCATGTTATTGTTATTTCTCGTAGTTGTTGTATCTTATACAAGGATATGGATTTTCACATGGTCTTTATGCATTGGATTATTTCTTTCATTAAGCTGGTTTTTTTTCTCTCTTCTTCTCCCTCTTTTCGGTTCGGACACAAATTGGTGAAAATAATTGCACTCATCATATCATATTATTAAGGTGACTATTCTTCGATGTCTTGAAAGTGATATTTAACTGATTTATGCTAATCATTACATGTTATGGTTGTGGTGGGAAGGAATTTCTTTCCAACCATTAAGTTGGTGCTGGTATTTTTGGAGTATGGCCAATGGACGTCTCATCGTCGGATGGAGCTTGTTTGCTTTGTCTCGTTGGACTGCAACTAGTTCAGTAGGCAGAACAAATACAAATGTTAATTTCATTATTCCAGCTCTAATTTCGTCTTCAGAGTTTTGAAAATTCTGCATGGCACAGATTGTAAAGGATAAAGGTAACTGTTCTTCATGTTGTTCAATTTTGTGAAGTTGTTTGGCCCTACACTATCACCTCCATTAAAACTTTTCTATTTCTGGTAAAGGTTGTTTTGGCAACGCAATACTGTTAGACATACGAACTGTTTTGAACGTGTAAGCAACTACTCTACTGAAAGTGGGAAATGGTTTGTATTTGATTTGCTGATTTGGGCAATTGAAGTTTTGATATTTACTTGTTTTGGGACCTCAAACTCGGATTTCCACATTTCTGATCATGGTTTTTTTTTTACCCAGCTCTCCATGTTTATACTCATGTTGTTGGATTTATTATTATTATTATTTTTATATTGACATTGTGGTTCGTTCATGAAATTTGAACTCATGACATTCTACAACCAAGTAGAAAGTAGACGAGCCACTATACGAAATAGTCTTAAAGAAAGTTGAATGCAATTGTTTGGTATGTACAATTGTCCAAAGCCCATTGTTAGACCGCATACACATCAGGAAATACATTTACAATTGTTTGGCATGTCCAAGCCCCATAGTCAAACTCACCTTACCTAACTATCCTGTGCTTGTTCCTGCGATCACGTCGAAGTAATCTGCAATCCCGGCTGGCCAACCCTATACAAGCACATAGGCCTCCTGTGCTTGTTCCTGCGATCATTATGCAGCCAATCCCAGCTGGCCAACCCTGTACAAGCACATGGGTTTAGGGTTGAAAGTTTGAGACTTTACCTATTTATACATGAGGAGGTCCATGCATCGTGGTCATGTATTAGATTACTTGCTTAGCAAGCTGAAAATCAAATAATGTCTCTGAGTGAAGAAATCAACCCATCAAGCTATGGTGATAAAATCACTGTTCTAAGCATTGATGGTGGAGGAATTAGAGGCATTATCCCTGCAACCATATTGACTTTCCTTGAATCCAAATTACAAGTATGCAATTATATATATACTAATTACCATCATCATCCAAATTACAAGGAAAATTTAGACTGATTTTTGTTTTGTTTTTGTTGTGTATGTGTGCGCTTAGGAACTGGATGGAGAAGAATCCCGAATTGCAGATTACTTCGACGTGATCGCAGGAACAAGCACAGGAGGCCTAATAACAGCCATGTTGACAGCACCTGACCAAAACAAACGACCTCTCTATGAGGCCAAAGATATTGTTCCATTCTATCTCAACTATTGCCCCAAAATATTCCCTCAATCCAGGTTCATTAATAATTAATGATCACTAATTATATAATTTCTTTTGCAAGTTTAGTTCTAATTGCATCCCATGATATTAATTAATGGATAATATAGTGGACCACTTATGAGAATGAGAGCCTTAAGGGGACCAAAATATGATGGCAAGTATCTCAGAAAGTTGGTTCGCAAAATACTTGGAACTCGAAGACTGCATGAAACTGTAACTCGAATTGTGGTGCCTACATTTGACATCAAATTGCTACAACCCCATGTCTTCTCAACCTTCGAGGTATCAACTTATAACTTTTAATTTCAGAAGTTGCACATACAATTTATTATATATCACTGAGAGATTAGGAAAAATATGATATGATATAAGTAAGTAATGTATAGCAGCATGGTTGAAATATGTTCGCAGGCAGAGATGGATTTTTCTGAGGATGCATTGCTATCAGATGTTTGCATCGGTAGTTCGTCTGCTCCAACTTATCTCCCAGCTCATCATTTCAAGACTAAAGATTCAGAAGGAAATGAAAGGGAATTCCACCTTGTTGATGGTGGGGTGGCAGCAAACAATCCTGTAAGTATCGTATATTTACTGGTACATCTCTCATTCAGGTACGGTGAGATTTATTTGAGAGATAGGGTTAATAAATGTGGTACGCGTACAAATAGTTTTATTGAAGTTATAATGATGCTCGATACTAATTAATTCATCCAACTATTTGTTTATGGAACATGTTTTCTTTGTGCTTCCCTTCTTACCCTAAATAATATGATCATTTTTTTTGGGTGTGATTTGAATTGGAAAGGCATTGCTGGCAATGAAGCCAACAGGGAAAGTGTTCCCAGGCAGTCCAGATGATCTGGCCTCACCACAAAGTCTACAATATGAGAAATACCTTATGCTCTCACTGGGCACAGGGACTTCAAAGATAGAGAAAAAATACAACGCAAAAATGGCAGCAAAGTGGGGGATTTTGGGCTGGCTTTACAAGGATGGCCATTGCCCTTTAGTCGATGCCTTCACATTTGCTAGTGGAGACATGGTCGACCTTCACATGTCCTTGATTTTCAGGTCCGTCAAATGCGAGCACAACTACCTTCGCATTCAGGTACATATATATTTCATCAACCTAAGATCACATCTCTAATCGAAGCATATTCAACTTGAGGTCATTTCTGTCTCGGTCAAATATGTGATCAATAATGTCATACGAATAAGGGTTTCAAAGTATTTTTCATGATTTATTAATATGTTAAAACTCCAATCTAGGATGACACATTAAGTGGGAACACATCATCGACAGACAAGGCAACAAAGGAGAACATGAGGGAGCTAATAAAGACTGGTGAGAGTCTGTTGCAGAAGCCTGCTTCAAGGATGAATCTTGAAACAGGGATATTTGAACCAGCTCACAATAATGGAGCCACCAATCAAGAAGCCCTCACTAGGTATAGTGACGTCACATAATGTATTTCATAACCATTAAACTTATATCACACTAATAATGATTAAGCATTAATACTTGTGTTTGTGGCTTGACAGATTTGCTCAAAAACTATCGGAGGAGAGAAGACTGCGAAAGGAACGATTACATCAGTGGTCCTCCATTTGATTACAATATATAATAGATTCATTATCTTAATTATAATTGTGTTTAAGTGAATTTATACTTGGTATTAGAATCATGATATTGGCATATTGCTTGACACATCTGGTGCAAGTTTTATTCATTAATAATAATTGATATCTCTCTTTCTCTCTCTCATTTACTCGCCTATTTTATTTTATTTTTCTTTTCAAATGGTTGTAATTTTCCAATTTGAAATTTCATACCATGTATATTCATATAAGAGAAGTTGTTCTAATGAGTTCAAGTATCGAGAAAATATGGAATAATAATAATAATAGGTTAGGATTATGATATGTGGAGGGTTTGGTAGTTGATACTCGATACCCTCCAATATAATCAAGAAACATAATGCTTTCTTTAATAATTTTTAAAATGCATATAAGATCGCACCATATTAAAAAGGTGCCCCAAAATCTCCGTATTCTCTTGGAAAAAAACTTACTTATAATGGGGATAGTATTATTTTGTTATCCCAGCTAATAACAGATTATGTATTATTGTGTTATTGGCCGTGTTAGTGAAAAATGACCCTAAACCCTAAACCCTAAACCCTAAACCCTAAAAATGATATTCCCTTTGCATGTATTCTCTTGGAAAAAAACTTACTTATAATGGGGATAGCATTATTTTGTTATCCCAGCTAATAACAGATTATGTATTATTGTGTTATTGGCCGTGTTAGTGAAAAATGATATTCCCTTTGCATGAGAGTTTTTCTCCTCCCCTCCCCCGAATGAAAAGAAAAAAAAAAAAAATTTAACATATGTCATTAGAATGTCATTATACAGAGAAAATGTTCAATATGCCAAAAAGGTATTGACTCTTATCCTACAATGTCAGCAGATGAGATCACCGATCTTTCGAGATCCCCAGACCTCCACCCGGTGAGAGTAACAACACCCGCTCTTTCTGTCTTCTAATTTACAGCCACGTGGTGAAACCTATAAAAATAACCTCCAATCCATCCACATTTTTCTACCTCGTGTCCACTCTTTCGGTTTCAGAGAAGCATTTTCCCTTCCGGCCCTCCACCAATTTTCTATCTATCTCTTTTAAATACAATCATTTTCATTTTCCTTCCAACCAAACACCCCGAAATTTTCCCGAGAAATTCTAAAATGGACACAACGCCGATTAACTGGGAAGCCCTGGACGCTCTCATCATCGATTTCGCCAAATCCGAGAAGCTAGTCGAAGACTCCTCCTTTACGACGTCGTCTTCTCCACCCTCTTCCCCACCTTCTTCTTCTTCTCCCTCCTCTATCTCCTCCTCGTCTTACCACTCGAGATTGATCATTCGCCAGATCAGACGGTCGTTAGAGGCCGGTGACATTGACGCCGCCATCGATCTCCTTCGCTCCCACGCCCCTTTCATTCTCGAAGATCACAGGCTCCTCTTCCGCTTGCAGAAACAGGTACTCCAGCTTTTTGGCTGCCGAGAAAACGCCCGAAAATATTGTAAATTACAGTTTTTAGGGGTTTTATTTGTTTTTTGTTTTTTCATATCAAAATTATTAACTTTGTGCTATTTTCTTAAAGAGGTTTATTGAGCTATTGAGGAGAGGAACCGCAGAGGATCGTGATTGTGCAATTAATTGCCTGAGAAATGCTCTTGCTCCTTGTGCCCTTGACGCTTACCCGGTACTTAAAAAACTTGTTCTTTGTATTAAGCATCGTAAAGTTTCTTCCTTTCAATTATCTTCTAATGGAATTCACCGCTAAGAGACTAGAGAGGTTGGCTGTAGCTCTATTGTCCGTGTGTCAAAATTGAGCAAATATGAGTATTGGGTTTGTGCGAGTTTACTAAATGTTGGATGCAAGTTGCTTACTCTGTTCAATTATGAGTTCTGATGGATGTTTTTATTGCATTCAAGGAAGCCTATGAGGAATTCAAGCATGTACTTCTTGCTTTTATATATGACAAAGAAGATCAAACTTCTCCAGTAGCAAGCGAGGTGGGATATTTTATGTAATGTCAACGCAACTATGACCAATGATTCTTTTCTTTTTTCCCCATACCATACATGTAGACTGACGTAAAGGGCATGTTTGTTTTATGTTTTCCAGTGGTCCGAAAGGAGGAGGTTTGACATTGCTGGATTGATTTCCACTGTCTTAAGAGCCCATTTACATGCTTATGATCCAGTCTTTTCGATGACATTGATATATTTAATAAGGTGTTACTTCGTTGAATTTAATTTAGTTACTTGCAATCAATATTATTCAATTCTTTGGGGTGTGAGTGAGTGAGAGTGCCTGTGTGTGGGGATACAGCACAGGCACTAGATTCATTGTTAGTTGTCTTTTAAAGTTATCCCTGTCTTATGCAGCATACACAAGGGATTTTGTTTTCGTCAAGGAATTTCGTCACCCATTTCTGATCTTACTCAGAGGCTGCTTCTTGAGGAGCGGGACCCCCCTGCAACACCCCAGGAGAGCCTGTATGAAGCACCTCCTTTCGATGAGGTGAGATTTCTAAAATATGAACATTTTTCCGTAGATGTTACAGGAGGTAAACAAAGAATTATCGTATAGTGAGCATGTCTTATATAATTACACTGCTAACCATGTCTTATATAATTTCATGTGTGGTTTGGAAAACCAGGTGGACATACAAGCTCTTGCACATGCTGTGGAGCTTACAAGACAAGGAGCAGTTGATAGCTTGAGATTTGCTAAGGGTGATTTATTTCAGGCGTTCCAGGTTATTAATTACCTTTTCAACGTTATTTTCATCACAGTTGCTTTAAGTTCGAATGTATGTTATTATATTTCACAATTCATAGGAGCTCGGTCATTGCATGCTTATTTGTCCTTTTCTTTTTTCCACCTACATCCATACTCTTATTTCTTGCATGTTAGCGGTTCCCTGGAAAAATAAACCTAATGATGCTAATGTAAATCATTATGAGGTTCTTTGAATTATATATGGTTGGCTCGCTCAATATTTTGACTTTACTGGTATTAATTATTGTTCTTAATACTTATCGACTGCAGAATGAATTATGTAGAATGAGGTTTGATGTTACCATGCTTGATGAGCTTGTTCGCGAGTACTGTGTTTACAGGGGCATTGTGGATTCTGGTCTTCCATCTTCTTCAGGTGATAATTCAACTTTTTCATTTCATTATTTATTTTTAATGTTTCATAGACGTGTGTGTGTTTTTTTAATCTTCTTCTTAATTTCTGGTTCTCCTACTGATCTACCTCCCAATGACAGCAGCTGGAATACAAAGCCCTTCCAAATCGTTGAAAGTTGATCAACCAGGGATTGGGTATTGTTTGTCAAGAGGCAGTTCCCATGAGGTAGATTGTGGTGCTGGCAAACATTCTGATGGTGAAATTTCCATCAGTACTAATGATAACCTAGGTGGTTCCCCTGGAAAGAATTCTGAAGTGACTAGCATGCAAGGAGTAGATGTTGAATTACGTTATGCTTGTGAGTCAACAAACAACCATGAAGATTGTAGCACCAGTGGATCACATCAGTCTGACAATCTCAGAGTTCCACAAAGAAGCAGAGCCAATGTAACTGCAGAAAGAAGTAAACGCAAGCGATGGAGGGGAAGACAAGATGATCTTTGTTTTACTACTGGCGTTTCCTGTAATGAAACAAGTAAAGAGCTTAGCACGACGGCCATGGTTTCCAATATGTGTTCATCAAGGGAACAGCAGGTTTTGTTCTGTTGTAATTACTTATATGTTGTAGTGGTAGTACTATCGATGTTTTTGGTTGTTAGTTGACAAGAGTGTTATTCTGCAGGCTTCAGAATGTTTAAGTTTAGACATCAACAATGTGGAGGATAAATATGAGATTGTGCTTGGGATGAAGGAACTAACTAGCAAAGGAATGGCTGCGGAGGTTGTGGAAGAAGTTAATGCTATGGACCCAAACTTTTTTGTACAAAATCCCACTTTGCTGTTCCAACTTAAGCAGGTACCTTGAGCATGTAATGTCAGTGACTTCATTGAAGTAAATGGTTTTTATTAAGATTTTATGATACAAAACTACTGTCTAATCTTTTCACCAACCTGTAGGTTGAATTCCTTAAGCTTGTCACCTCTGGTGATCATTCTAGTGCTCTGAGGGTTGCTTGCTCTCATTTAGGTCCATTAGCTGCTAGCGATCAAGCTTTACTGAAGCCCTTGAAGGAGACTTTGTTAGCACTGCTCCAACCTAATGAAGATGCACTTGGAAAAGGCTTGCCCTTACATGCTCTTGCAACTTCACTACAGGTATCCCATGACTAATTGTCATAATTCAGTTAATAGGAACTGCTCATGCAATTTATTTCATTAATTGATTCAGTTCTTAGTTTGTACTGCATTCTTTAAGGTTGCAGTTGGTACTCATTGCACAACTCTTTTCTGCTAGGGTTTTAGGATAACTACCATCAAATCGTTTTGCTATCTGGACACAGTTCTTAAATGTAATATATATTATTTACAATGCACCATGCCATAAGTAAGAATTAAACAATTGCTTCTGTGTCGGATAGGTTGCAATTGGTAGGAGGCTTGGCATTGACGAACCCCAGCTTATGAAAATAATGAGAGCTACCCTTCACACACATAATGAGTGGTTTAAACTTCAAATGTGTAAAGATCACTTTGAAAATCTATTGAAGATTGATTCCTTAAAAGATGTTACTACTCCTTCGCTCGCTGCTGCTGCAACATCAAAGTCAAATGCAGATAGTTGCTCTAATGGGTCTTCCCAAGTTACAGTATCTTCAAGCACCAGGATGGTGGAAGATGGTAGCAGTCTGACTCAAGTTTCATCTAGAGATGTTGTGTGTGACGAAAATGCAATACTGAAAGTAATGGTAAGTTATGAACTTAAGTTACATTTTTCTGTACCCTGCCTTGCCTTGAGTGGTGGTTTTTTGGTTTTGAGGAACTTTTTAGTTTTACATCCATAGGCTTACCAAAGATTGGCATCTCCATTGCACATAATTTGTCATTCCTATTCCTGGTCTTCCTTACAACATAAGATTACTTGATTATCGATACATTCCCCACCCAAAAGGGTTCCCTTATGTCAACAAGAAATGTTGATCCAGATATTTGTATGGTTACCCCATCTTCTAAATTCTAACACATGTTTGTTCCGTACAACTAATTTTACTATTTTGGACGATTGCAGGAGTTTCTAGCTTTGCCCAGGGCTGATGCCATCCATCTTCTTGCACAGTACAATGGAAACGCTGAGACAGTCATTCAGCAAATATTTGCATAGTTTGAATTGTAGCGGTATTGCAGCTATGTACAATTAATTTTTCCCTATTATTTGATTCAATTTGTGCATAAGCGTTTCCCATGTAGATAGACATACACGTAGTTACAAAGAGAGTTACAGTATTATGTCTTGTTAACGCTTACTTACACTGGCTGTTCTTGGTATATTATTATTTATGGGGATTCTGTCTGAAAAATCAGCCGTTAATAAAACACTGTTGGTTGATCAAAAGAGGAAGAAAGCATTGCTGGATTGATTTTGTGGTTTTATATTGTTTGTTAGCATTGAGGTAGGTCCAATTTGCCTTAGGTGTGTGGGTTTTTGGAGTCTTCCATTGCCTTGATTCTAAATGACAATGCATGAAAATTGCAAAAACCCCTATATGTGAAGCATCAAATAAGTCACTATTGGGTTTGAAAATGGAATTGAATTTTCTTTTTCCTTTAGGAAAAAGATAATTATTTAAATTTCATTAATAAAAAGAACTAAAATACAATCAAACGTTGTAACCGGCAAAAAGAATTATAATACAAATATACAATCAGCGTCCATCCAGCCCCAAGACACAATTAGGAGCCCTATACACTTCGCTTATGCAGTAGAGGCTGCTGTGCATTATTATGCTAAATTTCCAAATAATTTTCAGAAAATATATTTCCAAATTCAACCATTTGCATTGCCATTGCTAGCTAGAAGGAGCAGCACACTTACAACACAACTCATTACTTTGTGTTGGCTTTTGGTGATTTTGACTCCCGGAGCTTCTTTTCGTCCGAAAGTAATTTTGCAAACCTACAATACAATACAATACAATACGAGCATTTTCTTGGTCAACAAGCATTAACACAATCAATGATGATGATGAGGAGTCGTTGACTAATTCTAATTCAAGAAAAAATGTTGATTCTGCATCTGCAGCATAACCATCTGATAAGGGTTACCTTTGAAGTGCTTGCTGATTGGTGCCACCATTTTCAACTGGTTCGTAGAGACCCGTATCCAAATCCATGTTTGAAATTGGTTTCTGGAGCAATGTATTCCCAACTTCCACTAGATTTTCTAAGTTCTTCTGGGTAGCTTTATCAGCTGAAGCTAGATTTCCCTCTAGTGTGTCCTCCTGGTTTCTCAATAGAATATATATTTGTAAATTAATGAACATATAAATTATAATATAAATATATTATATTCAAACTCAGTTACCTCAATTCTGAGGTAGTTCTGTTCAGATTGGAAGGCTTGGAAAACCACACAGTTGTGGTAGTCAACCATACAAGCACTTGCTTCATTATAGCATTCCAATAAAGGACTTGACCCATCCTCGTACAACCACCCTATAATACCCCATTTGGAAGCCTTCTTAGCATTGTACTTCAGCTCACTTCTGTCTGAGCCTGTCCCCAACGAAACCATCAAAAGACGATCGTAACACTCCTTGGGCTTAATCTCCATGAAATCTGGATTTTGCTTCTTAATTTGTTTTATCACTTCACTAATGGCAACCAAAGCCTGCAACCATATTAAATTTAGCAACAGTAAAATTAAGTCAGTCATGCCACACCCTCCAAATTGCATACAAAACACTGCGTCACAGTCTGAGAAATGCTAACGGGACTTGCTTAAAAGAAAGTTTCTACATGGATGTGCTGCCGCGTCATGATTTTGGTTGAAGAATTAGCGTTGAGCTGTTAGTGAGGCTGTACATGAAACTTTCTTATAAGCAAGTCTCGTTAGCATTTTCCGTCACTCTTACTCTACATGGTATACTAAACTCTAAACCCTATTCAAAAAATTCATGCGTAATTATAAGAGCATCACCGGATTATTAGCGGCCACACCACCATCGATGAGGTTGAACTCTTTTAGTTCTTTTCCTTATTCAAAGAATAGGAAGATCAAATCCACAAGGAACACAATTAAATTAACAAATTATCATATAATTATTATATTTTGCAAAGATGAAATCCAAGAATTTTTGACATTTGGGTGGCAATGTTGGTGAGCCAGTCCAGTCAACTCAAGTAATGTCATACTAATTACTTGCACTTTCTTTTAGGGTTCGTTTGAGAGTTATTCTGAATAGGCATGTGGGTTTCTCCATATCACTTTAAGTGCCCGTTTGACATTACTTATTTGTGGTGATAAATGATTTTAAAAAAAATTTGAGAGGCCCAACCCATTTGGTAAATTATGAGAAAATCACTTATTGTTAACATTTGTTGTGAGAGAAAATTATAAGGGAAAGCAGTTAGAGCATTTCCAGCAGGGAGGGCAAGGGGAGGGCTGGGGGGGGGCAAGCCCAAAAACCTGTTTCCAGCAACAAAACCCAGCCCGGGCAAGCAGTGGGACCCAGCAAACTGGGCTGGCCCGAGGGCAAGTCTAGCCCCAGGTCCAAAACTTGGGCAAGCTGACGTCATCGATGACGTCAGCGCTACAGTACCGCTACAGTGCATCGTTACAGTGCCGCGCACAGTACTCTCTGCCACGTGGCTGCTGCTGGGGCTCTCCGATTCGATTTTTTCCAGCAATCCAACGGCGACGATTTTTTGTGCAATAAAAAATTGAAAAAAAATCGAAAAAATGTTTTAAAATTTCCAAAAAAATACTGAATTTATTTTCTATAAAAATACCAACAAATACTCTTCACTTTTAAAAAAATACCGAAAATCTTATCTGATATGAATAGTATTGACACGTAGGAACCCAAAAATCTTACCCGAAAATATTATCCAAAATAATTGTTTAAGTAAAAAAAATTGTGAAAAAAACAAAAAAATGAATAGTAGTTGCCATGGCAAGGGTTTGATTGCTGGAAACACACATAGCTAAAAAAGGCAAGGGCAGCCACTATTCACGTGAATAGTATCAGCCCTAGGGCCCCCCCTTGCCATGGCAAGGGTTTGTTGCTGGAAATGCTCTTAATGAGGTGCTTTCATTTTTTAATTATACAGGAATCAGTTTCGAAGAGGAGCTAGATTTAATAATTATGTGATAATCATTTTCTGATTATGCGGGAATTAGTACCAACAACACTTTCTCTCTTCAGGTTTGGGGTGCGGTATTGAGTATTTATATATTCCATACGAAAAGTCTAAGCGCGTGCTTTAAATGTAAATATTTAAGATTATCCAGGGTTTGGTTAACCAAGTCATGACTCATACGCTCTTGCAAGATTAATTAATAAATATTAATCTTTGTGGTTCATAAATATTCAGGTTAATAATTTATAGCAACTAGTAGCAATGAAAATGAAAACCCACACGAAATTGGAGGTAGGTAAAGCTATATGAGCTAATTCTACAAGAAATGATAACGGATCCTAAGCCTTTATATTTATAATCTAGGATCCGTTATATTTAGACATTTATTTGCATTTCGTAACATCTAAACTATCTTAATATTTGGCATTGCGACTATTCTGTACTTTTTTATGTGTTATCAATAAAATTACTATTATTTTTAATCAAAAAAATAATCTAGGATCCGTTATATTTAGACATTTATTTGCATTTCGTAACATCTAAACCATCTTAATAATTTAACTATTTAAGACATGACACATGAGCAAACTTAAAAAAAAAAAAAAAAAAAATATTTTCTTGTTCAAAGAATAGGAAGATCAAATCCACAAGGAACACAATTAAATTAACAAATTATCATATAATGATTATATTTTGCAAAGATGAAATCCAAGAATTTTTGACATTTGGGTGGCAATGTTGGTGAGCCAGTCCAGTCAATTCAAGTAATGTCATACTAATTACTTGCACTTTCTTTTAGGGTTCGTTTGGGAGTTATTTTGGATAGGCACGTGGGCTTCTCCATATCACTTTACCTGCCCGTTTGACATTGCTTATTTGTGATGATAAGTGATTTTAAAAAAAAATTTGAGAAGCCCAACCCGTTTGGTAAACTATGAGAAAATCACTTATTGTTAAAAATTATTGTGAGAGAAAACTATAAGGGAAAGTAGTTAATGAGGTGCTTTCATTTTTTGATTATACAGGAATCAATTTCGAAGAGGCGCTAAGTTTAATGATTATGTGATAATCATTTTCTGATTATGTGGGAATTAGTACCAACAATACTTTTAACAAAAAAGTTTATCAAACGTCAAACTGCTTTCTCTCACAACAAATCTTACAGCGATTATTTTCACAGTACAATAATACCAAATTGATTTTAAGTGATTCTGAGGAGAAGCACATGGAAGGTGCTTCTCCATAAAATCACTAAAATTACTTAAAATGAATACATGGGAAAGTCAATCTCCATAGTACTTTTTAACCTATTCTAATCACTTTCAAAAAAGCATGTTTCTGTTACATACATACATAATGTATATATAATTAATATAATTTTAAGAAAGTCATATCATATCTTTCTCTCTTCAGGTTTGGGGTGCGGTATTGAGTATTTATATATTCCATACGAAAAGTCTAAGCGCGTGCTTTAAATGTAAATATTTAAGATTATCCAGGGTTTGGTTAACCAAGTCATGACTCATACGCTCTTGCAAGATTAATTAATAAATATTAATCTTTGTGGTTCATAAATATTCAGGTTAATAATTTATAGCAACTAGTAGCAATGAAAATGAAAACCCACACGAAATTGGAGGTAGGTAAAGCTAAATGAGCTAATTCTACAAGAAATGATAACGGATCCTAAGCCTTTATATTTATAATCTAGGATCCGTTATATTTAGACATTTATTTGCCATCCCTACTCCCAGCCCCTTACCCTCAACTTTCGTGGTTTTTTTACTTTATTTTTTATTTAAACAATAACATAATTGTTAATTTTAAATAATTTTCTAATAAAAAAGCAAATTTTTAATACTTAAGTTTTTGATGTGTTATATTTTAAACAGTTAAATCCTTAGAATGATCCAGATATTGCGAAATATGGATAAATGCACAACTTGCATAGGCTCGTGATCCCGAGCAACTGACCCTCGTAAAACTGATAAAACAACTTGTCTGATTAAGAAAAAAAAAAAAAAAAAAAAAAAAGAAGAAGAAAATAATGAAAGGTTTACTGGTCAGAAGCCCATTGGACCTCGAATATGAATATGTTAGACTTGTTTTGATACCCCTTCCGGCATGGAATGCAATGCACCTGACATTAAATTCATTGAAACTTTAGGTGCCACATTCTAAATCAGTGGGTGCCAAGTGGGTAATTATGGGCTGTGCCCAGTGTCCTTTATTTTCTTGGTCAGAGACGCAGTGTCCAGGTTTTGTCTTGAAGCTCAAGCAGCGGTACCACTGGTACTGGGTTTTGAAGCAGCTGTATTCCATTGTTAGAACTTGTATATCACAAAGATTTGCTACTCACCGACTTACGTGTTTTGGCAGTCCTCGCTTTAATTCTCTGTGCTTTTGTCTGCAAATTAAAGCCCCAGGTGGAGGATAGTTTTATTGTCTCCGGCGGTAGTATACTACCACACACTTAACACGATAAAATCAATGTGGGATTGAGTTGAATTAAAATACATGAAATTTTGATGTGTTATGTGTTTCTAATTTTTCTAGAGGTGAACTGCTTCCTGCTCCGACAATCGGATTCAAAAATTTCTCCGCGTCAAGGTGATAAGTAAGCTATGATTAATAGTTGTGACATGACAATATAAAAAGATATATATTATTTTGTTGTCACTAATATATGTAAGGATTTTGTCAAGGATGTCGAGTTTTAACCGTTGATGCATATGCGGATATAGGGTGCATCAAACGGCTGGGACAGTCGACCATCTTTGGATTTCAAATATCATATTCTTCCTGGTTTAGCAAATAGCAATGACCTAGTTTCCATATGATACCAGTGCCCTTAACTTATTATGTTGTCCCCATTACAATGATAGAGGGTTGTTTAAAGCGCAAGCAATGAATAGCTCCTGTGGGACAACGAGGTATACTCATAGATTCTTCAACCGTAATATGATAATAATATATATACCACCAGCAAAGTTATACATATATATATAATAACATATATCTAGAGTGTAATACTTGGTTGTCACAAAATTATTTAGAGTGGGCTTCACGTTTGTATTTTTTTTTTGGACGAAGTGGGCTTCACGTTTTCCTTCATATATATATATATATATATATATATACATTTTTTCTTATATAAAAATATTTTAATCTTTCAATGTAATGTAACCCATTTCTGAAAGTTGAAAGAAACTTCGACTTTAAAGAAAAGTTGACACTTGACTCACACACGCACACAGAATTTGGGTACTTGAAATGAAACACTTGGCAGTTGGGTTCAAATGGGGCTGGAAAGTCATGTGATTGCATTGATGGATTTTCTGAAATAGGATTATTTATAGAGTAGCTGCTGCTTCTTCTTCTTCCCAGCACATCATGAAATGGATTTTCTAAATTAATCGGTCATTAGTTCACATAAATGCTAATCTATATATACGACTTTGACCTCTTCTAACTCTTGAAATAAAAGATTGAACTGGTAAATGCCTGAAACAGAAAACTTCCTTCCTTGATTAGCAAAATCAAAACTCGTGTTTGGAATCGTAATTATAGCTTTTTAATATTGGAAGCAATGAAACGTTTCTAGACCTAATCATTTTCAAGTTTGACTTTGCAAAAAAGTGCTTTAACTGCCTCTAACTTTTTGAGGTAAACAGAAAAATTCCCCTCTATTTTTTCAAATCTTTTAAAGGATGATTTGAAATTCATGACATGATAGCATCGTTTTGTAATCAAGGGAATGCCTAAGATAGAATGCTATAAATGCAGGTGCATCAATTTGATAGCTAGCTATCCTATCTAGAATTGTACTTTGGTCTGTTGGTGAAAATCAACATCACTCTATCACAATTCACGATCGGAAAATACTGTCCTCATTTTTCTGCAAGTAGGAACGTTTACATTCATGTCAATAACAGTGTGATATGTGTGCAGAAGTTTTTCTTTTTGTAATTTTAATGAATTATTTTTGTATATGTGTCAAATTATAATTCGCCAAAAAAAAAAAGTATGTACTGGTAGGCAGTACAAAAATTAAAAGGGTTTGAGTTGAGGGGTCATCGCTCCATCTCTATCTTGTTTATTGGTGTTTTAATGGGATCTC